CCCCAAAACCCCAAAACCCCAAAACCCCAAAACCCCAAACTTGGCTTATATTTTATATAAGCTATATCAAAATGGAAGACGAGAATAGGTAAGGAAATCAGTAGATTCTAATCAACTCAACAGCGACTAATCTTTCCAAGTTTAACTAATCCCATAAAAAAATCTCATATTTCTGCATTAAAGAGTTTCTTAGTATTTATGCTTATTTCTTATAAAAAAATTTCAACCAACTAGCTGGTAATTCTTTTTATTCGTAAAACTTCCTCTTAAAATTTAACAACATCTCTCATGTCTAGGTATGACTACTGGGATCCAAATTCTCAGAAAAATGGCCAAGCTGAGGAAGGTTATGAGAAATCATACAGTTACGAACCAGAGGTTGCAAATGAGGAAGAGAAACATCCAGAAGGTAAGTTTTTCTCACTATCATAGAAGTGTTCAATGAAGACCTTGGAGATCTCAAGCTTGGAGATACCTTACAACCATCTTTCATGCAACAGAGTAGAATTGAATGGGACAGGTCACAGTATGATATCTGCATCGTAGAATTTATCAAGCAAGGCTTCACTAGTTATAAAATCAAAGGCGTTGATAAAAATGGCGAGATCGATATCTGCAGAAGGTACAAAGAATTTTATGCGCTTCGCACCGTCATGAGGAAAAGATGGGTCGGCTTCTACATCCCAGGAATTCCTCCTAAAAAACCCATCGGGAATAAAGGAGATATTGTTATTAAAGAAAGATGGTATCTTTTGAATAGATTCTTACAAGAGGTATCAAAAATTCCACATCTATGGGAATCAGAAGAAATGACTATTTTCCTCCGACCGACAATGGATGTAGAGAAAAGTCTTAATTTGCTCGGCAAGTTGACAAGTGAGCAAATTCTGGAGAGGATTTCTACCAACTGAGGTGTAGATTACCTTGAAGCTACCTCAACACAGAATAAGTACAAAGATGTCCTGAGAGATTTTGTCACCAGCTCAAAAGATCTTTTTAAATTTCTAAATACCTTCAAAGAGTATGCTAAAAAGTTAGAGCAAATCAGGAAATTAAAGCTACTTGCTGATGGAAAACTTGGTGGATTCCTCTCAAAATATGAAGAGAGCACAGTAGCCCTATATGGGATCAATGATTTCTCAAATAACCGAGTTGTCTCAGATACAGATAATGATACTGTAAGACACACTCTAGACAGTGTTCCTAAAGGCGTTGATAATCCTTACAGTGTATTTAAGCATTGGGTGAAAGATGAAATAATAGATTTTCACGCTCTTGTCGAGGCTATTTCTCAAAAAGACATACTTCAAGGAATGAAGAATAAATCAGAAAGCAAGAAGAGGAGCAGCCAATCAGAATTAGACAAGCTTAACGCTGGGAAGAAGACCTTTAGATCCCTCTTTAAATCTGCTTCACAGAAGGCTACTCAAATAACGACTCTGACACAGACAATAGCTCAATGTGGGATTGACATTGAGAATTATGAAAAGGCCATTGTCTTAGTAGAGATGTAAGCTAAAAGCTTAAAAATATAACTGAAATAGGTACTTGGGAGATACAGCTTTGCCAATATTTAAAAAGAAAAAGGTTTCAGCATATTACACTGTTTTAAAAGACCTAGCCGGAAAGGAACAGACAAATTCTCAGAACCTTCTTGAAGCATGGAAGGTAAGCTTCTTCTCATTCTCATCCCACATTCTATAGGTTGTGTACAATGCTTTCAATATGAAATTGCAATAAATCTTTTCTCAAATTCAATATTTTACAGGAGCAATGGGGTTTTGGGGTTTTGGGGTTTTGGGGTTTTGGGGTTTTGGGGTTTTGGG